GGAAACGGGAGGTGAGGACCAGCGGTGTCTGCGTCCAACGGAACGGAAGGTCCCAAGGGCGCTGGCACATCAGGGAGCATACTGAGAGCAGCTCAGACTTACACTGTCCTGGGAGACGGCCCCTGCCTGCCCAGCCCTGGCGCTTTGGTGTCTGAAGGTGCCTCCGCGCCTAGCAGTGAGGACCCTGCGCCTGCAAGCCGCTTGCAAGACAGGAAGGAGCAGGCGGAGAATAGGGTTGCGGTGGCTTCAAGGACCCGGGAGGCTTAGGCTCAATATCCCAAGGAGTGAAAAAGCCTCTTTCCTCTCGCGGATCCTGTGTACCTCGGTCGGCATTCCGTTCGCAGATCTGGGACGCCGGGTAGCGCCCTCGGCACGTTGTGAACCGACACCTTCTGTTAAGGCACAAACTAGCCACAGACTCTCAAGCTGGTTATTCACTGATTCCAGGAGCCTGAGGATTGTTGAACTTCGTCGTGTTCGAGAAGCAGCTGGTGGTTTTTCTGCTGTAGACTGTAAATACTAAATTCCCTCTCTGCTGCTCTGCCAAATTGACTTTCGCTTCCGTTTGGCTGGAAAAAGATCGAGCTACTGAGATCACCACTGTGTTCTCCCAGCTGCGGGTTCACAGGGTGCATTCCTTAAATGAAAAACTCGGTCTGGGGTCCAAAAACTGAGCCTGGGGCCAGGGCGCCTATGGATCCGGTGAAGGGACTGTGCTGATGGTTTCATGGCCTCATGCGTCTGCACCAATGTCATCTAATGTTCAGAGACAGAGGACAGGAGAGGCTCCGGTTTGTGACCAGGTGGGCAGAGGGTGCTGGCAGGCGCCTGGGGTGGCTGGCAGCATCTTGGCCTATATAGTCTTCAACTTTTAAAGGGGGTCTTGTTTGATGTACAACATCGCTGAAGGCCAATTGCATTTTGATTTGTTAAGGGGAAAAAAAAATCTCGAAGGTATTCTTTTTTTTCACGTGCTTAGTTTTTCCGAGAGCCAGGTATATGAAGAAAGTTTTTCTTTCCTCCAACTTTTAAATACCAAACAACCCTATCCCCCAAAAGATCCAGGGTATTTCAGGATTGAGAGTCCAGTTCCAACCTGCCTGGCTCTAATTAGGCATGTCCTGCCAGCCTCCCGCAAACTTGCACCCCCTTCGTGAGCCCTGATTTCTCCTGGGTGAGTTTCTGTGGGTGAGCTTGCACCCACTCTGGGGTAAGACAGGGCTTAAACCAAGACAGGAGAAAGGTGGGAAGAAGGAAGAAAGGGCTACATTTTGGCAGAGTTCAGGCACAGTGGCACAGTGGGGAGTCTCCAGGAAAGAAAATTTGGGGTAAGGCCAGTGCCACTGGCCTGCCAGAAAGACGCCAAAGGAAGAATCTGATGCTTCTGAAAGAAGTCAAATGTGGATCTCAGCAGCATATTTCCCTCAAAGGAAGCTTCTGTTTCAAAGCTAAGGGGGTAGTAGGTTCTAAGAAATATTTGGTTTCATTTTGTCAGTTCGAATTAGAGCAATGCATTCATGGGACTCTCCTCTGGAGACCGCCAAATGCTTGATGAAGCCAGCGCCAATTTGAGAGGCACCGCACACTCACACTTGATCCTCCAAGCGAACGTCTCTTCAAACCCGACCATCGTACACATCTTAAGAAAATGATCACATTTAATCGAGTTTATCTTCTGGAAAGTGACATGTACACCGGGGACCGTGGACTGTCATAATCTAGGTCCTGGAGGGTTCAAAAGTGATAGAGTTTAGAGAAAAGGAACATTTGGACTGGCTCACAACGGGGGTGGCGGGGAAAGGATGCATTAGTGAGGGCTACCAGGGAGGGGGACCTCTCTAGAAGACACTGTAAGAAGTGCTCAGGGACCTGAGTTGATGGTGTTCCTTCCTGTGCTTTTTAGAGCCGGGCCTGGGTGCAGCTTCGCTCCTCCGAGGTGGGAAAAGGGTGCTGGAGCGCAGCGTTGAGAACAGCGGTGGCAGCACGCAACAGCCCAAGACGCGACAGCGGCGGAAGCCACGTGTTCTATTCTCACAGGCACAGGTGCTGGCCCTGGAGCGGCGCTTCAAGCAGCAGCGGTACCTGTCGGCGCCTGAACGCGACCACCTGGCCAACGCGCTGCAGCTCACGTCCACACAGGTCAAGATCTGGTTCCAGAACCGCCGCTACAAGTGCAAGAGGCAGCGCCAGGACAAGTCACTGGAACTGGCTGGCCACCCACTAGCGCCTCGCCGAGTGGCAGTGCCGGTGCTGGTGCGCGATGGCAAGCCTTGCCTGGGCCCGGGCCAGCCGCCCTTCACCGGCTCCTACGCCGCTGCCGCGACGCCCTTTTCCTGCTACGGCGGTTACGCGAGCGCCCCCTATAGCGCAGGCTACAACGTAGGTTATGCGGGTGCGGGACCCGCGCCACCCACGCCACTGGCCAACTCGGGTTTCAACCCTGGCGGCCCGAGCGCCACGCCGCAGGGGCATCTGCCCTCCACGATGCAGGGCGTCAGGGCCTGGTGAAGCTCCTCTGCTCCGCTACGCCCACCAGGGCCAGGTGCTGGGTCCCCCTCCTCTCTGGGCTGAGAGTCGCGCCGGGTTGAGGGGCCACAGTGGAGGAGGGAAGGGGCCCTACTGCTGAGATCGATCTCTGGTTCTGCCACTGTGCTGGGGCGCTGGAAAAGGAGACATAATGCCAGGCTTTCTTCAGCCGCCCGCCCGTGAAGCTGCACTGAGAGCTCTGAAAACCAAGGACGGCCGCACTTTCGGACGTTGGAGCAGGTCTAGGCAGGTGGCTTTTAAGGGCCTCAATCTTGGGGGGTCCAAGATGACCTTTTATGTTGTGTACGACAGCCTGGAGGTGTGGGAGACAGCGAGGACTCAGTCCTCCAATTAAAGGAATGGGTGTGTTGCGGTGTGGGTGGGGGACTGAGAAAAGAGAAGTGCGGCAAGGGAACGAAGATCGCGTAGGAGGAGGATCCAGGAGGTTCCAGAAGAGGGACTATTGCCCCAAGTCAAGTCCTCCTGCGGGTTTAAATACCCGGCCCAAGCTGTGCTCTGGGACGCAGGTAATCCAGTGGAGAGCACTCTCTGGCCACTTTTGCACCCCCAGAAGGAGCCTCTACATTTCTGGTTCTCGCCTTGCACTCACTACATTTTGTGTCATATGTACAGCGCAGCAACTCGAGTGACCCTCCCACGTATCCTTGGTGTGTTTGCATGATTGTTTGTACACCATGAGAACCCATTGTCTTGGTCAACTCTGAACAACAGGGAATCAAATCTGGTTCTTCTCTTACAGTCTCCCTTTTCCCTCCTCGAAGGTTTTCTTTTGAAATATAATCAGTTCCTAAGTTCTGAATCTGAACAGGAAGGCCCCACAGGTGGACCTACACCCTAAAAAGATGAAAGCCTAAATTTAGGCTTCCTAAAATGAGGGATTCTTGACATCCCCCTCCCCACCCCCCATATTCTGAGGTCATACAACTGAAGATTGAAAACAAATTCCATTTGTGAAGGAGAACACGGGATTAAATAGGAAATTGTTGGGCTGCGATGTGGCTCAGGGGCAGGGCCCAGCATGCTGCATGAGGACCCAGCTTCAGTCACCGGAACCACAAATGAGAAGTTGTCTTTGGTGGAACCAATTTAGAAGGAAACTTAGTAGAAAGAATCTAACTCGGATTACATTTTTAGACAATGAAAGTTCTAGTTCTCTATTCTCCTGGTTCACTAACTCATCAAAGTTTAAATTCTATTATTTAATAAATAATTGTGTTTCATTAGTATGTACCAGCCCTGCATGTTTTCCTGAGTATGAAACTGAGACTGCTTGGTTCTGTGAAAATGGTACCTGGATATCAATGGCTTATAGCCCTTAAAGGTTACATGCTTAAACCAATGAAACAAAAAGTAATTAACTGTTCCTTATTTTTCTTTCTACTACTTCATTACATTGTCTTTCCTTTCTGTTTTCATCACTCCTTGCTCTTGTTTTCTCCACTTTCACCGCTAATAAAAGTGTATTTAGAAACACATCATGATGGCTTTTAATGAGTATGGTGTCTCTGGGATTAAAGAGTGCAGGATGTATCTTCACATATCAAGAAAACTAAGAGAAAAAAAGAGATTACAAAAAAATCTCCAAAATGTGAAAATCACCTTACCCTGTTACCCCTTCCTCTTTGACTTTGGGGCTATTCCTCAGAAGAGAAGTTAATCTTGGACACCAGCCTTAGATTCATGACAGGTGAGTCTCAGGCCAGTGTTGCCTCTGAGTTGCAATCTGCATGGTCCTCAGTTGCTGTATGAATTCTATTTAACTTTTCCAAGATCAGATTTGAAAAATCTGTGTTCATTAAAAAAAAAAATCCTTTGGGCAAGGTCCACACCCCCAGGGTGTGGATCCTTGACACGGAGCAGGAAATTAACAGATTGATCCTCTTCATCTTCTGTGCCTCCTTCCAACGTAGATAAGTATCAGAAGCAGTTCACAGACCTGTTCTGAATAGGCCTTGCTTCTGACTTAGAAAGATGCCCAAGCCCTCTCCTCGCCTTTGCATCCTACCTGGGGAAAGCATGGGAATAAAAGCCCTGGGCAAGGGTCTGAGTGAAGAAGAAGGCGCAGGCCACTCACCAGTAACCCCCACCTCTGCACATTCCTGCCAGGGAATAAGAAAATAAGATTCTGCTGCTGCCTTTACTTTACGGAATTTATTCCCTGAGTGGGGTAGCAAAGACCAATGAGAGAAAGATATTTTAAAACACACGGTAGTATATTCTGGATGTCAAATAGGACAGAGAGGACAAGCCTTCTCTAGAGAAAGAAAACAGGGTGGGAGCTGGTGGGCCTCGGCCAGGCTCTGCAGAAGAGGGGACTGAGCCAGGCCAGTGTGGGTTACCCCAGCTCCACCGTTCACTGGGGGAGGTTTCAGGAGAGGCCTGGGACTTTGGAATGCAGACAAGCAAAGGGGCATATCTAGGGCCAGAGTCATATTTTACAAATCAAAGCCAGTATGCAGGAATTGGGGAACTGCATTCAGGTGAGAAAGGTGTGGGGTGAGGGGGCTGCTTACACCTATACCTAGGATCCTTACCTTAGATCCATTGGCCTGCCTCACTTTTTTTTTTTTTTTTCACACCAGAGGGGCAATGGGCCAAAGTCACAACCAGGCTCCAGAGAGGTCCATCTCCCACAATAGCATGAGGACCCAATCATCAGGCCCCCCCCCAGGGCCACAGCAGGAGCCCACATCTGTGTTCCGCCCCACCCCCATTGCTGTCACATCTATATTTGGTTGGCCTTAAAAACAAACAAACAAACAAAAAAAAGATAACAGCAAAACCCCTACTCCTCCCGCAGTCTATGTGGCTTTCCTTTCAGACAAGGCAGTTTGAGCGTCACCAGAGATTCCTAAAGGAGAGTGAAGAAAAACTCTCCTCTCCCATCTCTCACTCTCTGCCCAGCAGGAGTGTTTTAAAACACGTCCCTCCCCGGGCCCCTCTCCTCCACCCCCAGCTGCCAGCCTTCCATCTCTGTAATCTCTCCTCCGCACTGAAAGCTGCCCCTTTTTGTGTGCCTCCTACCGACGACGACTGCTTATCCTCCCAGGGCTTTTACCGGGGAGCGCTCTGTAAGCAATCAGCCTCTTATCTGCGTCTGCCTTCAGTCCCATCACTCCAGCCACCTCTTAATGTTCACAAGTTCCCCAAATGGGAAGTAATTGACCTCTAAACAAAACAAAAAAGCTCTCAGAGAGATAGCAGAGGTTCCTTTCCTGGCTGTCCCAGGGCTAGGGGTTCTCACCTAGGCCAGGTGGATAAGTCAATAAATCTGCAGACTTCCTGGCTCCCTGTCCTTCCTCTCTGGCCCCAGCCCCCCTGCAAACCAGTTCCTCTGATCCCATCTGCGAATCGGGTGGAGGACGAGTCTACCCAGCTCACAGAGTTGCCTGGGGTGTGGGTATTTCTTTTATAATGTTATCATTATGATGAACAAGCATACGATTTAAGGAGCATATTCAAATCTTTAGGAAATTCCATTTGAAAATAATTTATGATGCTCGCTATATATACATTTTTTCCTATCCACATGCCTCCTCCCTTCCCCTCCCTCCCCTTTGCCAAATTCAAAATTCCTCCACTCATCCCATGCCCCACCCCTATTATAGATTGGTATCCACTTATCAGAGTAAACAATCAGCCTTTGACTTGGGGGAATTGTCTAACTTTTAGCAGATATTCTGCAACTCCATCCATTTACCTGCAAATGCCATAATTTTTTTCTCTTATTGCCTTGATGCTCGGTGTTTATGCCAACTCTATTATTATCAGCTCCCCAACTAGCCCCTTTTCTTTTTTACAAAACAAGAGAACTCCCAGGAGTAAAGGCTGTGTTCCTTCCTCCTCTTCCCCTGAAGAAGCAGTCTCACAAAAGAGATACTGGTGGCAGTTTCAGAGTTGTCCCAGTTCAACCAGAAACATGCTCTGTGACCTTGAATCAGCTTCCTAACCTCTCTGGGCTTGCCTCCACATCTATAAAATTGAGGATCTTTGAGACTATTATTCTGACTTGAAGTGGCTCGCTCTTGATGTCACATGCCCTAATCACATATCCAAAAGAGTACACAAACATTGATCGACAGTCTAGAGAACAGCTGTAAAGTGAACACAGATGGGATTTCCATGCAAAGCAAGAAATGGGCTCCCATCTTCTCAGCTGCTCTTCTCCACACACACACCCAGAATGAACCCCCTTTCCCTCTCCTTTCCCAGAGGAGGTATCAGCTGTTCTGACTTCTGAGATGATCATTTTCAGGCTTCTCTTTATAGATGTACTCATACAGACACACCCCTTAGCAACACGATTCAATTTTACCTGGTTTCAAATGTTACCTGCACATATTCTTTTGTGATTTGCTTCCTTCCTTCAATCCATCTTTGGGGATTTCTCCATACCGTTGTGTGTAGCTTTCATTGTGAGCTGGTTTTCATTGCAGATTCGATGGCATGAAATGCCTGTACGTCAATGTACGTGTTAACTGAAAATGTAGTTAGTGCCCTTTCTCAGAGGGCAGCTGTGCCACAGCTGGGATTTGTCCTGGGCTCTTTTGCTATTTCTGCAGCCTTCCAGTGGTCTCCTGGACCCTGGCAACCGCTGCAGTTTCACTCGGGACTCACCACCTCCATCGGAGCAGAGTAGTTAGCCCTCTGATCCAGTCAACTTTGTGTGTGTGTGTGTCTTAATTCAGAAAGTACCAAAAAGCAAAACTTGAATTTGCCTCACCTTGAGTCCTCCGCTGAACCCCTGAGAATGAAGGGTGTGTGGGCATGAAGTGTGTCGAGTCCGAGGAGAGTTAAAGCACATGGGAGGTGTGTACAGGTCAAGCGCTCCAGCCCCTGGGACTTGAGCATCAGAGGATCCTGATATCCAAAGTGGGAGGATGTCCTGCAACCAATCCCCTGAGGATACCGAGGAGCAGCAAGATGCCTTGCATCCACAGAGGAAGCATCCAAGGGCCAAAACAATGGCAGCCACACTGTGAGTTAGTGGTGGAATTGGAACCCACCCCTGAGCCTCTTGTGTCCTCTGGCCCTGGGTTTCGACCCCCGAATCCTTGGCAGAGAGTTTAGGTTCTTATACAAATCAGGTTACCATGAAGTACCTCCATTTTCTTTATGTCTTTAGCGAAAGCTCCATGAATGAAGTAGAAGGCTTTTTGGAAAGATTAAAAGAGATAAATTGGGGCTGGGGGTGCAGCTGGGTGGTAGAGCACGTGCTTAGCATGGGAGAGGCCCTGGGTTCCCTCCTCAAAGAAAGAAAGAGGGGGCAAACAGAGAGCAAGAGCAGGAGGGTGGGAGGGGGGAGGGTGCACTGCACCCCTGTGCCCGGGCGCACTGCGCCTGAGGACTTGGGCTCTGCGTTCCAGTTCCCATTTCTGTGCACTTGGAACCTCCAGGGACACTGACTCAGGCATCAGGGTGGCCAGCCCTTGGGGGGGGGCAACATTCAGCCCTGAGCTGTTTCTCTTCCTCAGCTCCAGCACCCCGCCCCCCAGCCCCCCACACAGCAGGACAGAGCTTCCTAGAAACACTCCGCCTTCCTCTCAGACCCTTTAGACTCGCCCAAACCCCACCCCCATTTCACCCCGAGAGAGATGTGGCCTCAGTGACACAGTCCAGACTCTGACATAGGAGAAGCAAAGACATGCCTGCGGCCCCACCACAGATCTCAGAGCGCTTTCTACGTCCCCTCGGGCCGGCTCATAAGCTGGCTTCAGTCAAACCTGTCTCCTCCCCATCTCTGCCTCCTTGACTCCAGCCCCCTCCTGTCACCAGCCCAGCCTAATCCTCTGAAGCCCACGGGCCCAGGAAATTGGGATCCTCAGCGGAGACTTGAGGGGGCCAGGGGGACCTTGCATGGCTCCCGCCTGGCCTTCCTCCGCCAGTCCTGGTCACTCCCCGTGGGAAGCCTGTCTTAGTGCCCAGACTGGACTGAGTCCCCTGGTGCTGGAGCACCTTGGTGGTCCCCAGCTCAGTGCACTGACCCCTCAAGGCTGCTGTCCTCTCTAAACAACCAGCCTTGTGTCTGTGTGCTTCCAACAGACCCTGTGCAGGACCCAGAGTAGGGGCTGGTGCCATTTGCTGACTGATCACGTGATCGAACCAGAACCAGAGACCGTCGCTGTGTGATTCCCTGGCACAGCTCCACAGTGTCTGAGGTGAAGACCCAGGCTCTCCCCCTGGCAGCCAGAATCCTCCGGAAGAAGCCCCTTCCCTGTGTGGAGAGGCCCTGGGACCGTGGCCCTGGTCCTGTTCAGGTTCCCACAAGTGTGTATTTCCAACCAAAGCATAAAGAAAAGGGGAAAGAAAGCCCCGCGCTCTTCAACTTTAATTAACAAGTATCAGGGACACTTGACTGAGCATTTCAGGAGAAGACAAGACCAGTCTCATCACAAGGGAACTTCCACTAAGTGTAAAGCCCTTTCCCCTTCACCGAGAGACTCGTTGGCATAACGTGGCCAGGAGAAAGAGGGCATCCTAACCCCACACAGGAGCCCCAGTTCTGAATGGAGCAAGTGGAACACCTATGCTGTGGCTCCTATCTGAAGATGTCCAACTGTCACCTCACAATCCTTAACCCCTTCCTTCCTTAGTAATTCAACCCCAAGTTTCAGCTAAGTGCAAAGCTTCTTGGCAGAAGACTGTGTTTCCCAAACTCCTTTGCAGTGGGGAGCGGTCAAGTAATGATGTTAGGCGTAGCCCTCAGTGGGAGGGGCTTCTCTCCTTCTCTTCCTGCAGGTGAAATGGTGAAGCAGCTGTTTTAGATGATAAAGGAAACAAGATGGAAGAAGCCTAGATTCTCAGCACCATGACACCAGAACATCAACTTTGTTCTGCTTATAGTCCAACTTTAAGGTGAGGGAAAAGTTAGCGTTTGTCTGTTCTAAAGCCACTGACTTCTCGGCTTTTGTTACAGTAGCTAAACATGTATCTCAACTAACAAAGAAGACAGGCGGGTAGTTAGAAGAGCAACAGTAGATGTTTACAAGAGAGATCCAGCAAGTCAGAGTGGTCCAGAGAGCGCCATCAAAGAAAAGGGACTTGAGACAAGCCCCTTGGAAGGAATATACTTTGGATGGGTGGAGGGGAAGGACAGGAAGTCTACATAAAAGGATGCAGAGGAGAACAAAGAGCACAAGGTGCACGGGAACCAAAGACTTTGGGGAGGCAGCTTTAGCTCCCAAATTGGCAGACGGAGGCTCCATGTGATTAAAAAATTTATCCCATCAGGCTGCGGCTATAGCTCAGTGGTCGAGCACCTGCCTAGCATGTGTGAGGCACTGAGTTTGACCCTCAGCAGCCCATAAAAATAAATAAATAAAGATATTGTGTCCACCTACAACTAAATTTAAAAAAAAAATAGCCCAAATCAACACCACTAAGGGTAGAGATAGAAATTGTTGAGCCTCCAAAATCCATTGCTTTCTATTATATTTTGTCACCTTTAATAATTGTTGCAAGGTGCTGCTTCCTTCTGTTA